ACGCTCAGAAAAAGTTGATAGCAAACTGATCTGTCAAGACACATTGAAATCTTTTGGGAGCATTTGTAACTTGTCGCTGTTAATTATGCAAATTGTTTCAGCAGCTGATTTTTCTCCTGAATAGAATACACTATGCTGCATTTAACTGTTAACACTTTTACGGTAAGAATCGACTCAAAAATTTCAGATCAATTGATGAAAACAACAAAAAATAAGGAAACTTTAGCTTTACTCGGTTCCATTTATTTAGGTTGGAAGTTATAATGCGTTGGTGGATGAAGCCTATCGTTTACATTATGATCCAAACACGTTAGCCGTTCTGGTGTTAAATACTCCTACTTTCTTTGACACAACTTTTAAAAAATGGCTGCAGGCACAGAAAAGAGAAGACGAGGAGTACTCACAGTTTGTTGAACGTTTCGGATGTAATCCACTGAATACGTTTTTCACAGAAAGATTCCGGAAACTAAAGAAAGTAATTTTTTTCTATTTTTTAGCATCTTGAGAAATTATGGTTGCTTGCAACAGTGGCATTAAGTGAAGGCAACTTTGAAAGTATTTCAGGCAGTGAAGCAAAGCTCTTTTAAAATAAATCTCTTGAGGTGTCATTACACTTTCCAGGAGATTTGAAGAAATTTTTTTGTAATTATGTTCTCTAATTTATTTATTTATTTACTTATTTATTTATTTATTTTTTTTTGAAGTGTTAAATTGATTTTTGAAAACTTCAATTTTTTTCTATTTCTTACTTCATCGCGACAGATGTCTTTTTTCTTGTAGTTCTAAAAAAATAAAATTGGCGACAGATGTCTTTTTACTTGTAGTTCTAAAAAAATAAAATTGCTTTTTAAAATAAACCAATCAGTAGCACTGCCTAGTTGGAAGCGTTGAAACGTTTCTCTAGTTTTGAAACTTGATTTGAAGTGTAAGTTTGAAAATAGTTTTAGGAATTATCACCACTGAAATGTGATGTATTTCATGACTATGAATTTTGCGATGGCAAACCTAGGATACTTATGGGAACTTGTGGTCACGTTTCTGGTGTAGCTTATTTTTACCACTCAAGACCTGAAATCAACAATAACAATTATATAACAGACGGTGTAAAAGTTGCAGTGGCTCCAGTAAGCGCGGATTTCCTTATATTGAATTGAACATCAGAAGAATCTGAAGAATTTTCGTCTAGTCAGAAATTGGAGGAAAAATTTAAAGTTTTATTTAGTTGGCTATTATCGCAAAGAAATCCAGCTTTTAATTGAGAACCAGCTGGCATTTTACTGCCGCTGATTTTACAGAAAAATTGTGAAACAGAAACGGCTTGACACTATATTTTGTGGTTTTAAATTGATAATGATTTGTGGCGCACGGTTTTTATTAACGATGTAATTACTTAGTTTTATAACTTTAAGTTTAGTTTCAATGATATTTTCCTTATTGTATCAAATTTTTTGTAGATCCGCCCTATGGGTTTAAGTCTTCATTCAAAATACGGTGGACATTTTGCATTTCGCGGTGTGGTGATATTCCCTGATACATATTTACCAGAGACTTTTTGTGAAATGAAACCAAAGATGGTGCTTGACACTGACGAAAAACAACGAGAAGCAATTGAATTGTTTAATCTTCACTGGCAGGATGGTAGATTCAGGGATTGTGGTTGTTCTGGAGAAAAGTATAGTGATTTACAACTGGCATTCTACAGCATTCCTCCGGTAGAACGCTGGGCTTTGTTAAAGAGCTGGTTCTGTTAAATAAAGTGGTATTTTGAAAAAGTGCATAACTAAATTTTTTAATACGAAGAGCATGTTAAGAACAGTACAATTATTTTTAATTTATACAGAATACGTTTTAAAGATCTTGTACTAGTTTGTTGATGTGTTTAGGATGTTTTTTTAATTCTTTTGGAAGTGTACTGTTACTGGTGAAAATGTACCAAACCATTATTCTGTAATGTTCTAAGTTTTTTTGGTTTCTTTCAACAGTTTAAGTTTGCTTTTTCAATCGTTTTTATAGCACTTGCTCGAATTGATGTTCTGAGTTTCTTAATTATATCTTTTTAATGTTTTACCTTAATTTTCTTTTTTTAAGGTGTAGGTTACCTCTTATAGCGAATTATATACGATCTTCGATGGCTTCAAAGAATAACTTCAATTTAGGAATTTATTAGTTGTTTAGTCGGGTATCAGTCTTTCCTTTGTACAGTTAGTTTGGATATTGCTTACTAACAGTATATTTTCTATTGTGGTGATAGCTACGCGGACGCTGATTGAGGAACTCATGACCGTATTAGCAATTATATTGCATGCTAAGTTTGTAGTGACCTTTAATCTGTATAACGTTGTTGATTATTATGCTTGTTTATTGTATACTTAGAAGTTTTTTCATGTTTTTCGATTGTTAGGGTTTTTTTCTGTAACACGTGTTAAGTAATATGAGTAGGGTTAGGTTAATTTTCTCGTTGCACAAAATTTGTACTACACCAAATTGCAGCATTTGATCTGTTAAAAAATCTCCAAGTTTAGTTTTGTTATTTATAATGGTAGATCATTTGTAACGAAGTTGTTTTTTGATGTTGATTATCATGAGCTTCACGATTTTGAGTCAACTTGGTGATAAAGTAGAAATAAAAAAATTATTTTGGTATTTGGAAAAGTTTTTTGTGCAGTTCACTCGTACTGCAATTATTTTAACCGTCTAGTATTCACCGTAAATGTGCACTTTCATTATTATTTTCTGACACAACAGTAAGATATTAGACTGTTGAGTAATTTTTAGTTGTCTAAACCAATTTTTGCCCACATTCAGTTCATTGTTTACGGCAGAGGGCTGTTGTATACCACAGTTGTTAACTTGTAAGGAAAAAAATGGTGCATAAAACATGGCGGTATTCACAATTACGTTTTACAGAAATCTGCAGATTTAATTCTGTGAAGCTTTAATGGATGGATCCTGACGCTTTATTTGAGCAGCTTGAGAAATTGTTACCACCTTCTGATGGATTCGAACTTCACAAGTTTAAGGTTTTGCTTATTTTGTGACACTAATTTGAAAAATCTCAATTTTTTTCATTCATTGAGTAAAGCCTTCTCCACCATCAGCATTTTCCAGATATTCGCTTCAATATATCATTGTACAAGGAGTACTTTGATGCAATAATTGTCTTATTATAGGTTTCCACCTACAATGAATTGGCTGGTTCTTTATTCCAATTGGAATATCCAGGCGATACAATGGGAGTTATTCTGTTGAATACACCGTCATTTTTTGAAACGACTTTTAAACGGTGGCTTTGTTCAAAAAAGTCGCCATATGAGACTTTTGAGGAATTTGCTAAGAAATTTCCATCGGGTCCTGTACAGGAGTTTTTTAACGAGATGATGCCGAAAGTACAGGAGGTATGGCTATTATTCTTTAATTTTGTTGGTTTCGCCTTAATAGGTTTAATTTTTTTTTTATATCTGTAGGCACTTAAACCTGTTGATTCTACTGTTATTTATGACTACGAACTTCACCCAAACAGGAGACCAAAAATCTTGATGACAATTTGTGGCCATGTGGCTGGTGCAGCGTTTTATTACCATCCACCAGAGGAAGCCCTCGGTAATTTGGCGCCATCAAACCCAGAAAAGGTTTCCTTTGTTTACATTTTTTAATGCTTTGTTCTACGCATTGTACTTTTTTCCCACAAACTGGTTACACTTTTCTGACAGTATTTTATCAGCAAGGGCAAGAAAAAAATAACGAATCGGTTGTTTTCAGTATATAGTACCCTTTTAGCAGTTTAGGGCTCATCTCAAATTCTTTTTTGATTTTAGTTGAATTATGCTTGAATTAAGAATGTTTGTTTCAGAAAAGAGCTGGGGTGAGTCTACACCCTAAGTATGGCGGTTATTTTGCTTATCGAGCTGTTCTTATATTTCCGGAAGTGATTTTACCTCCGGATTTCAAAGAACAAAGGGCTCCAATGTTGTTGACTACTATTGAGAAACAAGATGAAGCTGTGCGGTTGTATAACGACCACTGGTGGGAAGGAAAGTTTCGTGACTGCGGAGATCCGGTCGAAAAATACAGCCCTCTACAACTCAAATATTTTAGCTCTTTACCAAAGGATAGGTGGGATATAATAAAACATTGGTTCTACTGAACAATGCACTCGTTTTACAGGGCAGCTTAGCATGTTTTTCTCAATTGTTCTGGGATAAAATAAAAAAGATAGACAGAAGGTTAGATTTTTTTTAGATTTGTCTATTTAATCTCGGTAGTCACTTTGCAAGGTACTTTGAGGAATTAAAACATCTTTTTAGACTCACTTCACGGTTAGAAAGTAATTTAAAAGTAAAAATATCGTTACTTTTTATTAGTCTTATTTTTCAAAGGCAATTTTAATCATTCTTTCGGCTGTATTTTTTGCTTTTCTTGTTTTACTTGCTCAAGTTGATCAGTTTGTGGACATTTTTGCGAAAGTTGTTCTTGAAGTGACTTATCCTTAATTTTTCTTTTTTTGCAAATCTTGCCATTTACGGACTAAAACCACTTTACTGAGTGTAGATTGGCGGAATAAAAGCGTGGAAAGGAAAGCTGAAAGTTATTGATATTTCTGAACACTGCTTCTAGGCAGGAAAGTTACAATTTTTTAAAAGTATTTTTGGCTGTAGGATACGTCGTTTACAATTATGTTGCATTTACGCGCTTGTTAATTCTACTGAAGTTATTTAAAATTTTAAATACTGTGCTTTCTTTTTTCAGTTTGAGCTCAATTAATTTTGTAGTTCGTATTTGTGTACTTTGAAGTCAAGAAAAGAAAATCTTATTTGAACCAAGTACTATAGTTGTAAACGGCGAACAGTGGTCGTTCACCGTAACTGAATCAGTGTAATTTGATTCTTGAATTTACAACTGTAGATTTATGTAGTCTTCGGTGAGTTGAAGGTGTTTAAATGCCACTTTGCATTTTCTTTTCTAAGTTTTCGATGTGACGTTAAAATATACTCATAGTGAGAATGTTATTATTAGTGCTGTTGTTAGACGTAGAGGTGTATCTTTTAGAAAGGTATTAATCAGATATTAAGATAAATATACATTTTTCTTTTGGATCTCTCAGCTGGTTATTTTCAAATTGTTTAGGAGATGCCAATTTTTTTGCCTGTTTACACTGGATACGCAGTAATAAACTTTTGTTCAAAATCGCTGATGTTAACGATAAGAGCGATGTCTGTGAAGTCTACAAATAGTAATTTCTGCGCATAAGCTGTCTTTGACTTAAGTATTAAAGAAACAGTACAGATAAAGGGAAGGACTGGTTTTGTTTTTCAGATTTATGAGAAACGTTATAAAGTTGTAAACTTCCAAAATTTGCTATATTATCATCAGTTTTTGTCTCTTTTTAAGCTGAATGTATCAAGCTTGTTAAAACAAAGAAGAGATGCGGAACTGCGAAAAACAGGGACACACGGGAAGAGAAATAGCGAATTTATTAATTTGTCCCTAATTTTTCAATGAATAAACGTCAACGTCTTATCTCTTCAGGAAGTTGTAATTCCAAAAAAAAATCTCGATGCTGCTTGAAGTTGATCACACTTTCCCACTGGATTCAATATTGTTAGTCAAAACTGAACACTGTTACGTTGGTCTAGAAATCTAGGACGGTATCAAAATTAATACATTTCACGCAAGTATAACTTTACACTACTTAAAGTTTTTATTGTTTCTTGTGGTTTTTTCAAAAGTTGAAAATAAAGTGTCGAGCACTGAACAACAAGTTTGAATTCTCCACTGAGCAAGATTTTTTAGCATGACTGTAACGCTTCCTTATACTGATAAGGAATAAATCCTGGATCTCGACTTTGAACGTCTGTCTTGCGCATCAAGTTTTCAAGTTTATACTTGAAAGCAGGAGGGGAAGAGGGATGATGGAAGCATGAAAGCAAGTAAAAGGGGATTGGAAAGGAAAAAAGGAGAAAGAGACACGGTGGTTGGCAAGTACTAAACTTGGAACTGATATGGTTTTGTTCAACTTCAAAAGTGGTTTGGCGCAACAATCGTTGGCTGATAGTGGAACATTAGAGTAACACCTAGATTGCTAAAAGGATTTAATTCGGAAAATGGCTTATAAACCTAAAAAAGTGGTTTTATCGATGTTACTCTGTTGCACTGATTCTTATTGGTCTATAAGGAGATGAACACTTTTGCAGTTTTTTGTTCATTTTTAGCACCTGCGTTACTGTTGTAACACAGCTGGTGAGAAAAGAGCAGTTTGTTTCTCATTTTCAGCAAACATTAAGTTTTTTTATATTATTTTTTTTTTACTTTTTTAAAATTTTGCTATAAATCTCGCAGCAAGTAAAATAGTTTATGAGTGTTTATCTAAGCAGAAAAATGCTTGAGAAGATAACAGTCTTACTGTCAAAAGAATATCTGGAATTGATTGCTTTCAAGTTTTAGAATTTCCACTTTGTTTTACTCTTGCATTACTTTATTTCATAGTACTTACAGTTACTCAATATGTATCCGTTATAAAATGCAGTATTTGTATATGCAGACTAAGGTTGACTGCTGTACTTTTGTTTTGTTGGCAAATTTTTCAACAATTAAAGAAAAACCTAAGTTCATTGGATCTTTGAATCTGCAAATTTAATTCAAAAGGCAATAATTGTATGTTAATTCGTCAACTGTTTTGTTGCACACAGTTTTCTGTAACAGTCGTTATTTTGAGGTTCAAGCTTGATCGTTTTCGTTGTCTTTGCCATAGTTCCTCTATCGCTGTGAGTGTATTAACAGGTCAATGAGTTATGGTTTAAAAACAATAGTGTTGACATCTATTAATTTATAAATTTTTTTCTGCTACTTACTGTAAATGTTAGGTAAATAAAACTTTTAGGTGCAAAACCCTTCATGAATCTTCGCAAAGAATTTTTGGGTTTCATTTAGCGGTTGTTATCATTGAGTGATCAGAACAGTATTGTTTGCTCCTAAAACTGGTTGAAACCTTCGTATATGCAAAAAATTTTGCTTTAAACATATTCAGTAAGCGTGCTGCATAAGTCAGTTTTATTAATTTTTAAATTCTACAGCTGTTCTTCGAATCAGTTCAGCCAATGGAATAGAACGGAAAATAAATAAAAAGAAGAAAAAAAAAGAGATTTATGTGCAAATGCATTTTATAATAGTTTTTTTATCTCTTTCGTGGCATTCTTGCGGAATACACGATCGTTACAGTTTCAGTAAGTTTGGCATTTAATATGGAACAGTCCTTACTAGCATTAATTACACATATGTATAAAGTTACTTGTCAAAAGATTGACAATAGATGATTCAAATTTATAAATGGCCAATATAGTGATGTCATATCACGGCGTTCAACGTTGATCACATTACACATATCAAACTGCAAAGTCCTACTGAACAGACATCTCAGACCAGAACAAAAAAGTGGTTGCTCTTTGTTCTACAAAGAAAGTTCAAAGTTCATTTGTTGTTTTTTGTTTCAATCACTCTCAGAGCACAAAATAGCTTTTTGAAGTGTCGGTGTTTACAACCAAATTTTTGCAGCACGTGATCTGTAAAGAATCACTAAATTGGTGGAGAACAAATAGGTAAAAATTAATTGCTGTTTGTTTGGCTACCGATTTTTAACCAATGGTGTTCGTAATTGGTTTAAATTTTCATTTTATTCCATCCTCAAATCATATGCATTTTAAATAAAAAGTATAATTACATATGAACTGTCAGCAATCATTTGTGAAAGTTTATTTTGTTTACAAAAAATAAAATTTTTTTTTAACTTCTAATTGCTAGCTTTGTTAAAATTTTTAAAATAAAATCGTCTATGTTGATGAATAAACGGCAGTACTCAGGAAAATACTTAGAAAAATAATACCTTAGTTAATTTAGAAAAAATTACGGTATTTGAAGCAGTTTTCAAACAAAAGAAATTCTTTTTTTTTTTATTTAAGCATATGAAATGAGGATAGGCTACAACATAAGAATGAAAATGCAAACCGAATGTAATTTTTATTGGTCAAAAATTGTGGCCAAATAAATAGCGACCAATTTTCATCTGTTTATTGTTCACCAATTGGATAATTTCTTAATGTTTATTTGCTGCAAAGTTGCTTGTAAACACCGACACTGTGAATAGACATTCTAATTTCTAACAGTAACTAACATAGAAGCAACAAAAAAATTTCAAACTTTTTATTGCATGATAAAAGTAAGCAAAAAGTTTTTTTTTCGCTCTGTAAAGTTCGCCTAGTAGGATCTCTTTGCTATCTTTTTTGCTTTCTATTCCGCTTTAATTTTGAAACCAACTGTAGAACCTGGTAAATGATATATTCAGCACAGACAGCATAGGTATTAATTTTGTTTAAAACAAAAAAATCCTTCCTACGTCACCACAAAATGGTGAGTTTTAAAGTTGCTTTATTGCTGTTAACTTATGGCAAATTGCAGGTCAATTAACTTTCTTCGTGTTTCGATCAACTAAATGAAATTTCTTTGTCTTTTTTTGATGAAAATTTCCCTCTATTTCTTTATGTTTCATAAGACGAAAAATAGTTTCATCAAAGAAATTAGCAATAATTTATATTACAAAAACCGGTTAGCTTGCAATCGTAAAATAATCCAGTTACGATTAATAGGTGGTTGAAAAGTACTAAGGAGCAACTGTTTCAAAACTTATTTTTTAAAACATTAATTTCTGCCGCAGATTTTATTTAAGCAGTGTACACTGAAAACCACTGTCAAGCTTAATTTGCTAAGAAAGCGCAGCCTTTTTACCAGTAAAATTCTTCTAAATTTGATTGCTGTCACTTCTTATGATAGCATTAATCGTCACGGGTCAGAGCATGAAAAGAGCGATTAGTCACACTTTTCCCATGCCTCATCTGTGTAGTGAAAATACAAGTATTCCTTTCGTAATTTTTCTGTTTCTGATTCTTAAGTCTTTCAGTTTCTTGAGGGCACTTCTACGAAGAAATATTGGGTATTGACAGAGACCAATAAGTCGACATTGAATATCGAAATCCATTAAGAAAACTGTGGTTGCTGTTACTGGCTGTAACGTTCAACAAAGACGTTGGACTGAAGTCAGTCTATCATGGTTTTTTTGCAAAACATTATGATAAAAACTGCTGTTTTCGTTGATTTTTACTCACTGTGTTATAATGTCGCTTCCTCGTGAAAAGCGTAAAATGAGTATCATTAATTCTGCTAACTTTTTACCGTCTTACCTTGATTCTTTTTTGAGCTTATGTTAAGTCACACCGCACAAACTTCTATGGCTTTTTTTCACCACTTTTCCAGTTTTTCGTCACCACTAATACTTTTTAAGAGCGAGCGTAAAAAGTTATTGCCCTTTATGCTGTGGTGGTAAATTTTTTTCCAGTTTTACTCTGTTTGGTTTAGGATAGATTGGCTAACTTTGCATGTCGATCTGTATTTAGCAGTGATCCTGCTCATGAACAAAGAAGTAGGAAACCATTTTATTGGAAGGATGCAAAATTTTCTATAAATTATTTTTGAAAAAACAGTGGTAAAAGGATTGAAGAAAAAAGTAGAATTAGCAGCTTGCAAGATTTCTAAGCTGTAAAGACAATGAAGATGTCTTGCACACTTCCAAATTTTGTTAATATGGTTTTTTAACACCTAGGCCAAGCAACCACGCCACGCGAAATACAGCTTAAAAAGCACTATTGTTTAAGCTTGTCATTAATACTAAAACCTGAAATGAGGTAAAGTTTTGAGTACTGAAAAATTTTTTGATTAAATGCTTTACAGCAACAAATGCAGGTACGGTGCTCTATCTACAAAGAAAAAAATAATGTTTTCAAAAACATGAAAAAATGTATTTATATGATTCCAATTTCTTCGCATTTTCTTTTCTCTCACTTTTTCACCTCCTTCTTGATGCGCGAATAGTTCCATACAGGAATTCCTCTCTAAAATGTACCTATGAAGCAGAATGCAAAGAGAAGACAACCTTTTTAACTTTTTAAACAGAGAGACCGAAGCTGAGTTTAAGCTGTATAATAAACAATGCACAGTTATGCAGTTGTTATGACTATTTTGTGAGATATTTGCCAGCAATATTTTTGCTCTTTTTTTCACCCAAAAACCAATGAGATTTTATCGTATGTAATCATCACCAAAATTTGAAACTACAGAGAAGTCGCAATTCAACACCGTTCGATCAAAACAGACTTTGTTCACCAGAAACTTCAGCAAAATAAATGATAAGTTTAAAAGAATATTTTATCATTTGTTCTGCTTTTTTAATTTGATTTATTTAAGAACAATACTAGTAAGTCTAGGTTCACGATTTGGTATAATAAGTAACATCTGAATGCATAAAGAAGTTTTTTTCATCAAATATTATTTGCTATATGGTATCCTTAGACTTTTGCTCTCCTAGTGATCCTGTCGGGATGCATTTTCTAAAAACTTTTAAATTTTCTGATCAGACGATGAGTTAATACTTTGTTTTCACGTAGTGCAATGGTAGCAATGTGCTTGAACACCTTGATCACTGCCGGCTCGGCTTTGCTGAACAGTTCCCTAATCTGAAACTAGTCTTTTGTTACTTTTCTTACTTTTTGCTAAGGTCTAATTACTGGAAGTTTCCTAATGACTTATAAAATACAAAAAATTTTAGCTTAGGAGAAGCTATAGCATATCTTAAAGACAAAATGATAAAGTAAAAATAATTAAACAAGAAAAAATTGTGGTATTTGGTTTACCCGATGCTTCTCTTCCTTTCTGCTATAGTTATTACGAAATTTGATAACATCGATTTCCGATATTAACTCTGAAACTTTTTCAACAATTTCTTTCATCCTAAACGCTATTCTGCGTCTTCTCTTTTGACGTGCTCTTTTCATTTTCAAGAATTTCTCCTAAATTTTTGTTTGTAGATATTTTTTTACTTTTTTCTGTTTATACAGGAAAAAACCAGTGAAAAGAAAGTAATAAAACAACTAATATAAAAAAATTTTTTTGTTTTTGACTTACTGCAATATCTGGTTTTTGCTGCTTGGCCCAAGCGTTAAGTTTTTCGTCCAATTCTTTTCTATTCAAACTGGTGTCTTGAAATATTGCTTTTAATTTACGACGTGCCTTTGGGTCAAGTTTCTTCAAAAATTTGGAAGAATGATGTCTACGGTCTTTTGATCCCTGACCATGCAAATGATGGTTATGCTCGCCGGCTGCTTCCTCATCTTCATTGTTATCATACAACCTACGGTCTGGCCGAGCTTGACCTCGTCGATCATCATAATGCCCCTCTAGACCGTGTTGCCTTCTGCTATGAAGCGCTTCGCTATGAAACTCTTCGCTACTGACTGCTGCTATCAGAAGTAAAATACTGGTTAAAATAAGAAGCCGTGCCATAATGGTTGTGCAGATTGAAGAATCAGAATGATGTGATTGTTGTTTAACAACGGCTCTGTTATATTGACTTTGAACAGAATACAAAATCAACTGTCGATAAATGTAAATTAGATAAAAGCTTTACTTTACAGAGTATTTTGAATAAATCAACTATAGCTAACTTTAATTTTAATCGCTAACTGTAGTTGCATAATTAAAAGCTTTAAGAAAAAGATGAGACAACTTTTTGATGAATTCAATTTTAGGTTGACATTAAATTTTGATACAGCGTTTACAACTGTAGTGTTTCTCCCCCGGAAATGGTAAGAAGTGAATAGAACAGTGAATAGCTTAAGCTTAACACTAAATTAAGTAAAATATAAGCAGATAAAGACTCTGGACACTAGTAATAATACTAAAAAAACCAGAAAAACAAAAATCTTACTTGTTTAGTAGGAGAGGTAATAATGCTAAGGTAAACTTGATGTTGATGCAAAATTTTTTTTATTAACAATTTTTTTTTAGCGACGACTTATCGCTGTTATTTTGTTCTTCTTAGTTTTAGTTAACTTTTTTCATGCACTTATCCATCAGTAACAATGCGTACATTTTTGGAAATGAAAAAAAAATTTTTGGTTCTCAGAAAGTGAAGAAGAAGAAAGAGAAAAAAGTAAGACGAAAATTTATCTGCATAATTGAACGGTATTAATGATACAAAAATAAAAAATAATGGCTTAAACAACTGAATTTCTTGGCGTCAGGTAGAAATTGGTAAATAGACAAATACGTACAATAATTTTCGCTGAAAAAAAGTCACATTAAATTGCAAAAGAAAGCGAAAAAAAAAAAAGAAAAAAGAAGCAAAACAGTCAAAGCAATTTTTTCTTTTAAAATTTCTTGCAAAAAAACTGTTCAAAATTTCTTTTTATCTATTACAGTTTAATGAAAATTTTATTGAATGTTATACGCAATTGAAACTGTAAATTTTGTTGAAATTATTTTAGTAAAAACTTTCTGGTCTTAGAGATCTTAAGAAAAAAAAAAAGATAAAGAAATAAAAAAGGATAGAAGAAAAAAAGGATAAATGTTGGACTATATTGGTGAATATTCATCGCTGATTATCGAAGTGTTTTAATACCCAATATGTTGGATACATTTGGCTCGACTATTAGTGCAAAAAAAGAAAGAAAAAATTTCTACTACATTAATGGCTTACAGTCTCTGCCGCTAATTTTTTTCTCTGAATAAGATTAATAAACGACAATAAAATATGGTGAAAAAAGAGCTCAAAATTTTGTATAGTTTATTGAAGACTTAAGTTTCCAAAAATTTGTAGGTTTTGCAATGATTGCTTAATATTCATTCTATAAATGAAGTAAAAGTCATATTTAGTTGTTCAATGTTTCTGCTATTTTTCTTTGTTTTGAATTCAACAAAATATATGTTTTTTTCTTCAAAAATTTATGTCTCATGCAAAAACACTTGGTTTAATTTTATTGCTTAACTAATTTCTATTCTATTTTTTTTTATTTTATCTTTTAACACTGTCTTTATGCGATCTGTGATTACGATGATATTTGGTGATCGATGCACTGATCACCGACTGTACGGAGTCAGTAGTTAAACCTAATATGTTAAGCATAATTTTTTCTTGTCGTATCTGTTTAAACTGTTTTCGTCAAGTAATTCCTGATAACCTCTGCTTTTTTACTGCTTATAATTATAAAGAAAAAAATATTACAAAATAATTGGTCTAAAAAAGTGACTAATTTTTGAAATCATATGATTATTGAATAGAGTTGTTTAAAAAACTGTTGCAAGTTTATCATTTTCGTTCTTTTCTTTATTTTTTTCTTTTGCAGTTATAAAAAGAGTGATGATAGCTGTTATGTTGTAATCAGAATCGTAGATGACTGATTGTCGTCTGTAATTCCTGGTTAATAATATCAATGACGAAATTGTTAAATTAAAATCTGGCAATAGATTGTTTAAAGTGTTTAAGCTGATAAATTCGTGTTATAAAAAAGAAACAAAAATTTTGATAACTTTTTAATTTTGAGTTATTAATTCTCTGTTAAAACAGGTTTCATTTTTTTGTTTCTAATTTTGATTTTGGTTTACCAGATAAAATTGCTGAATTTACTTTGCTTCTTATTTGGCACTTTGTTTTGTTTTGTTTTTTTTTGTTTTTTGCTCTTTTTTTTTTTTTTTGCACACAATGACAATATTAAAATTAATGGAAATTAGTGAAACAAATTAGTGAATCAAAAGTAAACGAAACAAAAAAAAAAATGGTAGAAGACAAAAAAGAACAAAGTTCTTTTGTTTTCCCGCATCGAATAAAGAAAAAAAAAAGATTACAGAGCAAAAAATCAGTAAAGAATGAAACTATAAAGAAAAAAACGAAAACAACACAAAGATACAAAAATTTGGCAAAATATTTGAAAAAAAATTTTTTTAATTACTTTTTTGTTCTTCTCTTAGCAGAACACTAATTGCTCATTTGAAGAGATGTAAAGCTTTAAAGTCATCATTGATTTAGCAACTTTTATACCTTTTTTCTTCTCACTTTTTGTTTTTAGTCAGTTTTGATTAACTGTTTAATGCAGTTGATTTTACTTCAGTATGATTGCTGATTTCCTTTCCACAATAAAATATACCTGATAAGATTTGTGGAACAAAATTAGGGGGTGGGGGAGAAGAGGACGAGGAAAGAGGGAAGCAGAGGTGAAGAGAATGGTAGAAAGACAGGAAAAGCAAATACTGTTAACAGTGATAAGGGAGCGAGAAGAAAAACTGAAAGTCTTTTGTCTTATCACAACATAACTATTGTAATGTCTGACGACAATGAGACTTATATTAAAAGAATCTCCTAACTATCTAAAAATTTTATCATCGAAAGCCGCAGCTGGTTCAACCGTATAAAAAAGTAACAGAAAAGGTAAAAGACAGCTTAGACCAGGAAATCATCAAAAGATGACCATTCTTTAAGCGACCAAGCATCGATGAACAGACTTCCGTTCTTCTATATTTCTCATGCGCAAAATAGTATCTATATTCCTATCGTTCTCTTCGTATTCTCTGCTTTATATTGTTCGTATTGACAAATATTGTATTTCACAAGGACTCTTCTTATTTGGCGTAAAGTCTCTGCTTCTTTTCGTGCTTTATCAACATAAAAATATAAGTTATTCTGCTCGAATTCATCAACGAACTGTCCACGCATAAAACTTGCCTTAAACCAGAGGAATTTAAGCTAAAAGCAGTATTATAAAACAGATTTATAGCAAAAAATAAAAATAAAAAATTCCTCTTTCAAGACTTTAAAATATAGTGCGCAGCTCAATTTAAGGACAAGTTCTCTTTTTATATCGCCAGATAAACTTTACCAAGTGTCGTTAGAAGTTTCAAGCGTCAAACATATGACCATAACTCAAAATCTTCTTACATTAACAGCAAAGTAGTTGTAGTTAACTTATGCATACTTTATGTTTAGCAATTAAATGACTAAGTTACAATTTGTTTTGCCATTCTTTTTACAGTTATTCAATAATTTTTTACTAACCGTTTTACACAGAATGACCAATGTAAAATAAACAGTTCAGAATAGTGCGAATAGTATTTTTAACACCCAAAAAATTTTCAGTTATTTACTGGACAAACTTAATTTCTTTTTATCTTTAAAAATGCTTATTAACTAGAACAAAATAATTTTTAGAATTTAGAGAAAAAAGTATATTTTCTGAATAACATCTAAACTGGAACCTATTAAACTACTTATTTTATTTATCAAAGCGACTAAAAACATCGCAACAAAACTTTTGTGTTAACTTTAACAATCATAATTGGTGCTCAGCATTTACTAACCATAACACTTCAAGTAAACTGTCGATATTAGTTTGATCTATTTTGATAAAGGTAAATTTAAGTGTTCTTTCTTACAAATAACTGATTACTTAGCTGTTTATGATCAGCACACGTTGATGTTACCTAATCATCACAATTGAAAAATTTTACTGCCAAAAAATTACTTCAATGCAGTCGGTTATAACTGACACTACCAGCGGTGCGAATAAAATTGCATTTTACTATTTTGAATCACCGCATATATTTTTTAACCGCATTTGCTGAGACAACTTTCTTTGATTCACTTTCACCGTAGTTATCAGGTTTTATGGTTTATCTTAGTTCCAGCGACAGTGTACTAAGACTGATTTTCTCTATAGCATGCCGTTTTCAGACAGTTGTACAGTTTTAGTTTCTAGACATAGGGTGAAACAAGTCTATAAGAATGCATCAAATACTTTTGTCTGCGCCTCATTTTAGAGTTTAGCAACTTCAGTTCGCCATTTTTCTTCTCTTTTTTTTTACTGTTACAGTTCCATAATTGATCATTTTTATTCAGCACATTGTTGACGGCAATCAGCAGTGACGTATACTTAGATACAGTATCGTTTCTGTAAATAAAACATACAGAGATTGAAAGTAAAGATAAATCTCAAGTTTTAAACTGCTAGATCAAAAATTGTCTTTGCTATTTTTGTAAAGCACCTTTAATTGTTTCCAATAAATGGTATATTTAGCATATTATACAAGATTACTCAATAATAACGAATTTTTCATCACTTTTTAAATGCACTTTTACAAGAAAAAAAATAATTTAGCTTTTAATTAAAAAAAAAAACAAAAGAAACTAATCATTTAAATGAAAGAAAACTACACAAAATGCCTTTTTTATAATTGACAACCGATTGGTATTTTGATGAAGAGATTTGTCAACTTGGCTTAAAAAAGATTGAGAAACTGTTCAGTGCCTCACATGCTTTTCAATTATGCTTCATCTACATGCTGTTAGAAGAAGTTGTAAAAGGTAAACATTAAACAAAATTTTTTTCTCAGTGTTTATTTTAAACTATTAAAGCATGTAATAGATCAAATCTGTTAAATCTTTATTTCAGACCCTGAAACAGTCACTTGAAAACTGTTGACCGCAGACACGTCATTAACGCCTTTGTTTACAC